CTAGCCTTGAGCTGAAGAGCTGAGGGACAGCGCCCAGGCCCAGAGTTCAGGCCCCACAACTGGACCCCCCCCCAAAAAAAAAAAGACAAAAAGAAGCTGTGTGCTGGTGGCTCATGCCTGTAATCTTAGCTACTAAGGAGGCTGAGATATAAGGATCATGGTTCGAAGCCAGTCAGAAAAGTCCATGAGACTTTTATTTCCAATAAACTACTCAGAAAAGGCTAAAAGTGAAGCCAGGTGCTAGTGGCTTATGCCTGTAATCCTAGCTACTCAGGAGGCTGAGACCTGAGGTTTGTAGTTCAAAGCCAGCCTGAGCAAGAAAATCCCTGAGAGTCTTATCTCCAATAAACCACTAGAAAACCAGAAGTGGCGCTGTGGCTCAAGTGGTAGAGCTTTAGCCTTCAGCACAAAGAGGCTCAGGGACAGGGCCTAGGCCCCAAGTTCAAGCCCCAGGAGCAGTTAAAAAAAGAAAAAAGACAAGGGGCTGGGAATGTGACTTAGTGGTAGAGTGCTTGCCTAGCATGCATGAAGCCCTGGGTTCAATTTCTCAGTACCACATAAACAAAAAGGCAGAAGTGGCATTATGACTCAAGTTGTAGGTGCTAGCCTTGTGCAAAAGAAGCTCAGGAACAGTGTCCAGACCCTGAGTTCAAGCTCCAGGACTAGCAAAGAAAAAAAAAAGACAAAAAGAAAAACTTTAGCTACCCAACAATGCAGAATAACATACATTTGTCCACCTTAGAAAAATCATGAGAGCCCTGCTGGAGGTGATCAGTACTTTACACAAACTCAACATTGTACACCGGGATCTCAAGCCGGAAAACATCCTCCTGGATGACAATATGAACATCAAGCTCACAGACTTCGGCTTTTCCTGCCAGCTGGCACCAGGAGAGAAGCTACGAGGTCTGGCACTGCGGTTGAGGGTCATGTCAGGGGCTAAGACTTCCAGTCCGTTCTCCCAAGAGATTAGATTTTGTCCCAATTTACCCACCCCATGCTTTCCACATAAAAATCCTACTATTTCAGGGGCTGGGTGGCTCAGTGGTAGAGTGCTTGCCTTGCATGCATGAAGCCCTGAATTTGATTCCTCAGCACCACATAAACAGAAAAAACCGGAAGTGGCATGGTGGCTCAAGTGGTAGAGCACTAGCCTTGAGCTGAAGAGCTCAGGAACAGTGTCCAGGCCCCCAGAATTCAGGTCCTACGACCACCACCACCGCCGCCACCAAAAATCCTACTATTTCAGGGGCTAGGGCACCCTCTTCCCTGGAACTGAACTGAGCCAGGTTCCCCCTGCTCAAGTTCCAGGCCAAATGACTACAATGGACCAAGGAAGCAGTAAGTGGGCTCCATGAGCCACGGTCAGTGTTAAGAGTCCAGGGCCCACACCACTCCTGATCCTTCTCCAAAGCACTTCCTGCCCTTGCCCTTCTGTGCAAAGACGTCCTACTGTAACTATTTCCACAGAGGTCTGTGGGACTCCCAGTTACCTGGCCCCTGAAATCATCGAGTGCTCCATGAACGATGACCACCCGGGCTATGGGAAGGAGGTGGACTTGTGAGTATCTGGGGAGGAGTGCTGGCCCCAAGGCTGCAGCGATGGGCTGGGCAAGTGAGGAGCTGCAGCCGGTCCCTCCTGCCTTCCCCTGCCCGGCAAGGCTGGGTGACAGTTGGCTCCCACACTCCAGGTGGAGCACGGGTGTCATCATGTACACTCTGCTGGCTGGCTCCCCGCCCTTCTGGCACCGGAAGCAGATGCTGATGCTGAGGCTGATCATGAGTGGCAACTACCAGTTTGGCTCACCAGAATGGGATGACTACTCAGACACAGTGAAGGATTTGGTGAGGGGCTGGGCCTGCTGGCTCCCCTGGGCTCAAGCTGGGAATCCCAGCCCAAGAGCAGAGGAGGGCTCCCTGCCTTGGCGGAAGGCTGCCTCCTCAGTGGAGGGCTCCCTGTCATGGCACCCTCAGGCCCCCGTCTCTTCTCACAGGTGTCTCGCTTCTTGGTGGTGCAGCCCCAGAAGCGCTGCACAGCAGACGAGGCCCTGGCACACCCCTTCTTCCAGCAGTATGTGGTGGAGGAAGTACGTCATTTCAGCCCCAGAGGCAAATTCAAGGTACCAGAAGCTTCTTCACCCTAGGGACAAGTTCAAGGTGTCCATGGCCCAGCAGCGACTTGCAGTAGGCTCCTGAAGTCCAGGCATCCAAGAATCAGCCTCCCACACCTGTCCTTCCTCTCTTCCCCTGGATAATTACAGCTTTGCTTCCCGTAGTCGCAGAGAAGTCCCTGCCTGCCATGTGTGGGGGGGGGAGGGGGTGCTGCCAAGACCCTGACACAAGCCTCAGGGCCTCCATGCTCTCCCACTTCCCTGTGCTAGGGGGGGTGAGGCTGGCAGCAGGGCGCTGTGTCCTGATCCCTGAAGGTGATCTGTCAAGTGACCTGTCTGTTGGTCCCGCAGGTGATCTGTCTGACTGTGCTGGCTTCTGTGAGGATCTACTACCAGTACCGCCACGTGAAGCCAGTGACCAGGGAGATCGTCATCCGAGACCCCTATGCCCTGCGGCCGCTGCGCCGCCTCATCGATGCCTATGCTTTCCGTATCTATGGCCACTGGGTGAAGAAGGGGCAGCAGCAGAACAGGGCTGCCCTCTTCGAGAATACGCCCAAGGCCGTGCTGCTGTCCCTGGCTGAGGAGGAGGACTACTGAGGGTGGCAGGCGGGAGGCCCTTGGAAACCGAACCTTCCGAAGGCCAGCCTCCCACAGACCTCTTGGGCTCCTCAGGTGGCACAGAGTGAGAAATAGGGCGGGGCGGGGCGGCAGAGGGGCCTGAGAACTGCAGCTCAGCCTCCCCTTTGAGGGCTGGCTCTCTGGGGGCCCCTTTGGGTCACCAGGCTGAGAGTCAAGGACCTCTGCAAAGCAGGCGGATATGAGATGCTTTTGGAGATACCAGCCCCATATAATGAACCAAGAGGAGCCAGACATTTGTCTCTCTGGAGTGTTCTCTCCTTGATGACTCCCGCAACATTAAAGATACTGCTTAAAGGGCCCAGACCACTGCATGCTTAGAGTGAGGCAAGAGGCCCAAAGTTCTGTATATCTGGAAAGGAAAGAAGCATTTTCCTTCCACAGTAGCTTGTGGGGAGAACAGACAGCAGCGGAGGACAGCTTCAGTTTCAGAATCAGACGAGGAAAGGGGAGGAGACAGAATTATTTATTTAAGAAACACTGTTCCAGTTGTCAGCATTTGGTCCCCAGGTGGTTCATGTAAACGAGAAACATCCAGTGCCCAGCACCCAGCCCAGTCAATGTGCTGGGCCCTTGAGTATGGGGAAGGGAGAGCGGAGGGCACCCCACCCAGCCCTTCAGGCTGAACTGAGGGGCACGGTTTGGCTGCATCTGGAGCATGGTCGGGGCGTGCTCTGAGGAATAAGGCCTGAGGGAAGTGGCCAGTTTGGATGGCTGCTCACAGTTCCCGGGGTGGTCGGCTTACACTGGAAGCACAGCGGAAGCCAAGGTTGTCTGAGGCTGAATCTGGAGTGTTGCCCATTCTGCCACCAGAGAAAGGGAGAGAGAATAGACATTGGTTGAGAAAAGTTACACAACTTTTAACTGGGCACCAGTAGCTCACACCTGTAATCCTAGCTACTCAGGAGGCTGAGATCTGAGGATCACAGTTAAAAGCCAGCTCAGGCAGGGAAGTCTGTGAGACTCTTCAACTAACCACCAGAAAACTGGAAGTGGAGCTGTGGCTCAAGGGGTAGAGCACTAGCCTTGAGCTGAAGAGCGCAGGGACAGCACCCAGGCCCAGAGTGCAAGTCCCATGACCGACAAAAAAAAAAAAAGTTACGCAACTTTTCTTCTGCCTGACTTGACAGGCCTGTGATGAACTAAGGAGAGAACGATGAGGAAGACCTTGGGACAGAGTGGGGAAGCAGCCCAGAAGGACTGCATTGGAGAAGACTTTAGTTGTTACTGAAAACTTGTACCATTCATAATTTAGAGAGTGGCTCAGTCCACAAAGCCTGTCAGCGATGGCAAAGAAGAATAGCAGGGTACTAGGCAGTGCTTCACATTTCCCAAATGAATCTCCCAGCTGTTTCTTTGTTAGCTACTTCCCAGCTTCTCTGGAAGGCAGGGTTTCATCATTTTGTAGACTCAGAAGCAGGTGTCAGAAATACTAAGACCCTTGCCCAAGGCCAAACACAGCTTCCATGGTGGGGCAGATCAGTGGAGACCCAGGACCTGCTTCTGCACAAGAGGGAGCTGAGGGAAAGGCCAGTTCTGCTCCCAGGTGACCCCAGCACCATGCTGCCACTGGTGCCTCAAGGAATCCTGGGAGAGGAGGTGCAGAAAGCACAACGTGGGAAAAGTCCTAAAAGGGCTCTGGATGCAGGAATCCCACCACTCAGGCGCCAGCCCTGACTGATTGTGTAAAGTGAGCAGGCCCCTATCGTCCTGAGCCTTCTTATTCTTGACTGTAAGACAAAGTCATAATTGGTTCTCTTTTGTGTGTGTGAGTGCCCACCAGTTTGAAGAGCTGGCAAGTCCAGGACCACTGGCTATGACCTATTGGTGTGGTCATTCCTCCCACCCCAACCCAAGTATAATAAGGATGGGAGGGAAAGTCCGCACAGCCAGTGTGCCAAACAATCTCCACGGAGCAAGAGGGCAGGAAAAGCTCCAGGTCAACATAACCTTTTACTTCATGGTGCACACAGCCTGCACCTCTTCTGGTGGAAGCAGAATGCAGCAGAGAGACAGGGCAAAAAAAGAAGGGTACAGAAGGGAGAGGGAGAAGGGGCATGGGTGGCAGTACAGCCGAAAGGCTACGTGCAAAGCAGAAGGAAGGTGGGGTCAGAAGAAAAGCAGGGCGAAGCAAGCAGATGGGTGCGGCAGGGAGGCTGGAGCAGCAGCAGCACCCACACCCATCTGGTGCTCCATGAGCTCTAGGGGCTCATGACACAGGCTGGTATTCTGAGGTCCCCTGGGATGCACCCTCACCTGGTGGTGACCCGGGCCCGATGATTGGCAGAACCATCCGCTGTGTCAATCCAGGATGCACCCCGGAGGACTCGCATGTCCTGGTTGGCAGCCGGGTACATTGAAGCGGTCCACTCCCACACATTGCCCATGAGGTCATAGAGCCCTGTGGCAAGGCAGAGTGGGTCAGTCCCAGGCTTCAAGCAGCGCCCTCCCAAAGACCCCAGGGCAACACTGGTGGTGAGGAAGGACAACACTCCCCTCAACTTCCTCTTAGGCAGGCAGGGAGGGATGAGAACTCGTGTGTGGGTCATGGGGCTTGAAATTTAGGGCCCTGGCACTGTCTCTGAGTTCCTTTTGCTCAAGGCTAGTGCTCTATCACCTTGAGCCATAATACTACTTTTTGGTTTTCTGGTGGTTAAAAGAAATAGTCTCATGGACTTTTCTGCCTGGGCTGGCTTTGAACTGTGATCTTCAGGTCTCAGCCTCTTGAGTAGCTAGGATTACAGAAGGGAGCCACCAGCACCTGGCTGGATCGGAACTCTTACCATAGTCATTCTGTGGGGGGAATGCATTCACTGGAGACAGCCCATGGAAGCCATCTTCTGCCTTGTCACCTTTGGGGAATGTTCCCTGATGGGAAGAATTAAAGCAAAAGTGTTTATCTGCTGCCCCAAGAAGGGTTCCTGGCTGCCCACCAGACTCTGGGGAGGGGAAGAACATGGGGCAGGAGTTGTGATCTATTTGACCCTGAGTGATGTGTATAGTAGGTGTAAGGTCTCTGTCCAGTGGCTGAACAGAAGCCGCCGCATGGTCTTAGATTTCAATCTCCAAAACTGACCTGAAGTGTTCAGCCTCAGGCATTTTGTAATAGCAACAGAAAACAAATCAGTATATTCACTTTTTGGTAAGTATTAAGGAATGCACCCAGAGTCTTGTACAGCAAAGAAGGTGTATGTCATAAGCCCTTCTGCATCAACGTTTGTCTGAATATAGATATGACCCACAGGTACCCTAAACTATGTTGATCCTAAACGGACCTAGTTCTGTCCTCCTCCTGACCATCTATTCTGGATTACAGTAGCAGCTTGTAGTCCAAGCTTGGACTCATCCTTAAGTCCAACTTAGTTCTGTATTCCACATTTGATTAATTACTAAATCCCACACATCTTTTCAGACACACCTCTCTTGATCCATTTCCATTTAAGACTCCTGAAAGTTCTAAGACTCTTCACCACTGCCGTTCTACTTCCTTAGGTCCAGTACAAGTTAGCAACAATTTGCATTTGCTGTGGAGCTGGGGGTGTACTCATGGTCCAGCACTTGTCTGGCATGCAGGAGCCCTTCATAACATGCCTCCACCAAGCCCTCACTTCCCTGGACCCTGACCCCACTGAACACACAAAGCTCTTCCTACCTACACCAGCTGTTCCCAGAGTGACCTTCCTTCCACTTTCAAATGGCTCAGATGCTACCTTCTCCAGTGAAGCCACCACCCCAATGACCTGTTTTCTTGAGTCCTTCCAGTTCTTTGAGCTGAGTTCCATCAGAAGACAAAGCCCTCTGGCTCCTGCAGTGGCCTAACTCAGTCCATGAGAGGCTCAGGGTAGGTCTTACCTGCCACAGGTTGGTGCGGTTTGGCTGGAATCTGTTCCCCCATGGATATACCTGACCTGATGAGAGGAGACAGAAGAGAGAGAGGCAAAGAGTTAGTGAAGCCTTCCAAAAGAAAACAAGAGTTAGCCGGGCACTGGCGGCTCATGCCATAATCCTAGCTACTCAGGCAGCTGAGATCTGAGGATGGCAATTCAAAGCCATCCTGGGCAGGAAAGTCCATGAGACTCTATCTTCAATTAACCACCAAAGTGGTAGAGTGCTCGCCTTGTGCTGCAGAGCTGAGGGTCAGCTCCCAGGCCCAGAGTTCAAGTCCCACAACCCCCCCCACCCCAACCCCCCCAAAAAAAGTTAGTGGGGGAGCTGGAGGCTGGTTCCTGTAATCCTAGATGCTCAGGAGACTGAGATCTGAGGATCACAGTTCAAAGCCAGCCTGGCAGGAAAGTCTGTGGACTCTTATCTCCAATTAACCTCCCAAAAGGCAGAAGTGCAGTTGTGGTTCCAGTGGTACAGTTCTAGCACCTGAGTTCAAGTCCCAGAACTGCACAAAAACAAAAAAAACAAACTGAGTACTGATCTATTGGGGTTCCCTCAGTAAGTAGGTGTTCAGTGTGAGAAACTGCCTCCTCCCTGATGAGTTTCTGTAGTTACGGTTGCAGAATGCCAGTTTTCAAGCAAACAGTGATCCTTTATAGTAATCTATGCCCCTATGGGGGAAAATGTGTAATTTTGATAATTCTATTCCTAATTACATTGAAATGTAATTTCAATAAATTATCCATGGACTCTCCAATAATAAAACTGTCTGTTTTTCATTCCATTTTTCCAGTTATTTATTTTAACCCAGGCCTAGAATTCACTATGTAGGTCAAGTCAGCCTTGAACTCTGGATCTTTCTGCCTAAGCCTCCCAAGTGCTGGGATTACAGATATGTATCACTCCACTGGCTCCAGGTATTCACTTTTGTAAATTCAGATGTACTGGCTTGAATGGTCTAGAAATGAAACAATGGATCCTCCTGTTCCAGGAACCAGGCCTCTTCCCACGCTTCAAGGACCATATGCACTGAAAGATGGGAGAAGAATAATGGGAGATACTGAGCATCTGTGTACCCTTTAAGCCCCCTCGGGCAGCGAACTCCCACTCCTCTTCGGTGGGCAGCCTCTTTCCCCGCCATGCACAGTACGCATGAGCGTCGTTCCAGCTCACATGCACCACCGGCAGCTCCTGCCTCTCTCGGATGCCAGAGCCGGGACCTGCAGGCTGACAGCCAGGAGGAAGTGAGACCGCTTCTCTCTGGGATCTCATGGGAATCTAAGAGGACTAGGTGTGGGCGCCTGAACTCAGCTTTTACCCCTAGAAAGAGCAAGGAAGTTAGTGAGTGAGCAACATCGGGGTTAGAAAGAGACCATGCAAGATCCTGCAGGGGAAAATGGGATGGACAACAAGGAAAAGAATTTGGACGGAGGAAGCAGGCCCCCCTGTCATCTCCTCAAACTTGGTGCTCTAGGATAGGTGTGGGGGGGGGGCGGGGGAGTTGGGGAAGCAAGATTGGAGAGAAGATAGAGAAAAGCAGCACTTACCTGCCTCCAGAAAGCCTTTTCCACTGGAAGCCACCAGAGAACAGACTGCAGATAAGAAGCAGGATGAATGAGCGTAGGACCTGAGACCAACAGAGTTCCTCCCTCTTTCAGCCACACACTTACCCCAAAGAATAGGCTGTGACTGCACATCTTTCATGATAGCTTACCACCCTTACTAGCGAATGCCGCTGAGACATGGTTTTGCTCTTGTTCCCCCCACCACCACCACCACTTTTCTGTTCTTGTCTTATTTGCTTTTTCTGCGACAGGATCTTGCTATGGCTGGCTAGCCTCGATCTTTTGATCTTCCTGCCTCAGCCTCCCAAATGCTGAGATTACAGGTGTGGCCAACACACCTTGCTTTGAGAGGTTGAGTGGATCCTGGTGGCTCACACCTGTAATCCTAGCTACTTAGGAAGCTGAAATCTAAGGCTTGAGGGTCAAGGTAAGCCCAAGCAGAAAAGTCCAGGAGAGTTTATCTCCAATAAACTACTCAGAAAAAGCCAGAAGTAGCACTGTGGCTCAAGAAGTAAAGTGCTAGACTTGAGGAAAAAGAGGCTCAGATACAGTGCCCAGGCCCAGAGTTCAAGCCCCAGGACCAGAATCACAACCTCAGGAACACTTCTCCACCCTGGCTCAGGAGTGTTTGGCCTGGCCCCACTTCCAGACCCTCAGCTGTACAGCTAGGGTCTCACCTGCATCTGCTGGTTTGCTTTGTTTCTCAGTTCACTGGAGACGAAATCCTCAAAGACAAAGCTCCACCCAAATGCCTCAGCCTCTGTCCGGTACTTCTTCTCCCTGACAAACTCCCTGAAAAGAGATATCTCTTTCACTTGATTCAGCTGACCAGATTCCAGGCTCTGTCCCTGTCTCCTCCTCCAGAAGAGTGGATACTCTTTCCTGGGAAGCCATGTCTGGTTCTGGAACTCCAAGGAGTTAGCTGGGAAGCATGGCTTATACTTTACACTTTCTTTTGAATTTGGATATAAGCAGTTTACACAGTAAGTTTCATTCTTTTAAAACATTTTCCAGTGGATCTCACTTGTAACCCTAGCTACTCAGGAGGCTGAAATCTGAGGATCGTGGTTCAAAGCCAGCCTGGGCTGGCTTATCTCCAAGTAACCACCAGAAGACCTGAAGTGGTGCTGTGGCTTAAGTGGTAGAGCACTTGCCTTGAGCTCAAGAGTTCAGGGACAGCGCCTAGGCCCTTAGTTAAAGACCCACAACTGACAAAAAAGACCCCCCAAATCAAAACACAGAAAACAACAACAACAAAAAAAAACCCTAACATCTTCTTATTTGTATATATAATTTTCCAAGTCTAGACATCTTTATTCCCTAAATTGTGAAGCTGATCCTTCTCTTTCTCCCTTCAGTACTGGAGTTTGAGCTCAGCCTTGGACTGGCTAGGCAGGTCCTCTACCACTTGAGCCACATCCCCAGCACTTTTTTGCTATAGTTTTCAGATAGGTTCCTGCAGTTTTGCCTGGATCAAGCCTCAGAATGAGATTCTTCTACCAATAGCTCTTTCATAGCTAGGATTACATATAAGACACCATGCCCAGATTGTTCTTTTTTTCTTTTTCTCTCTTTTATTTATTTATTTTTTTGCTGGTCATGGGGCTTGAACTGTGGGCCTGGGCACTGTCCCTCAGCTCTTCAGCTCAAGGCTAGCGCTCTACTTCTAGTGCTTTTTGGTGTTTAACTGGAGATAAGAGTCTCATGGAGGGGCTGGGAAGGTGGCTCAGTGGAACAGTGCTTGCCTTGCATGCATGAGGCCCTGGGTTCGATTCCTCAGCACCACATAAGCAAAAAGAAAAAAAGCCGGAAGTGGCGCTGTGGCTCAAGTGGTAGAGTGTTAGCCTTGAGCTGAAGAGTTGAGGGACAGCACCCAGGCCCAGAGTTCAGGCCCCACGACTGGACCCAAAACAAAATAAAACAAAACAAAAAAAAGAGTCTCATGGACTTTTGTCTGGACTGGCTTTGAATCAGGATCCTCAGATCTCAGACTCTGAGCAGCTAGGATTACAGGCATGAACCACTTACAAATATTTTTATATTTAATATATTATAAATATATGATCACAATATTAAACATTTTCAGCATGGTGAAAAAAATATATTTATTAGCTGTGGGGCTTGAACTCAGGGCTGGCCTGGGTGCTATCCTTGAGCTCTGCTCAAGGCTGGTGCTCTGCTACTTAGAGCCACAACATTACTTCTGGTTTTCTGGTTGTTATTTGGAGATGAGTCACACAGACTTCCCTGCCTGTGCTGGCTTTGAACCACAATTCTCAGATATCAGCCTTCTGAGTAGGTAGGATTACAAGCAAGAGCCACCAGCAACTGACCTAATTTTTTTTTCAGAAATGCAAACCCAATACATAAAATGTTCCTTCATTTACTTAAAGGAAAACACATTCATACTTGGCAAAGCAGACTTTATCATTCTGGAAGGAACAATCAAGAGATCATCAAACAAGGCCATAATAAAGCTACCAACACAACTATGTTTATTGCAGAATTATTCACCATAGCTAAGATATGGAACCAACCCAGATGCCCCTCAGTAGATGAATGGATCAAGAAAATACACACACACACACACACACACACACAAAATGGAGTTCTATGCTTCCATCAGAAAGAATAACACCACCCATTTGTTAGGAAATGGAAAAACTTGGAAAAATCATATTAAGTAAGCCAGACCCAAAGAAATATAGGTCCCATGATTTCCCTTATTTGCAGTAATTAGTATATGTCTAGGATAATCTTATCTGATGAGCAGAAGAGCTCAAAAGCTATGTATTTATAACCATATAAGATGATGCTAAATAAAATGAACCCCAAAATATGGACACAGAGGTTTTTTTGTTATTGTTTTTAATGTACTATGTGATTTTTTTTCTTTGTTTCTTTTTTTGTTGTTGTTGGTGGTGGTCATGGGGCCTGAACTCTGGGCCTGGGCACTGTCCCTCAGCTCTTCAGTTCAAGGCTAGTGCTCTACCACTTGAGCCACAGCACTACTTCTGGCTTTTTTTGCTTATGTGGTGCTAGGAATCGAACCCAGGACCTCATGCATGCAAGACAAGCACTCTACCACTTCCACTCTATCACCTTCCCAGTTCGTCTTTGTTTTTTTTGTATGTTCTTCCTCCTATGGTATATCCCTGTTGTCACTGTATTTAATTTTGGTACCTTGCATCTTGTATATACATTTATCTAATTAGGGGAGGGGAAGGGGAATAACAAAATGCTGAAACAAGGACACAGGATGACCCACTGCAACTATGATACTCACAAGACACTATGTTGGAAATGAACCTTATAACTTTGGTGGGGGGGGAGTGGTGGAAGTAGGGGAGGGAAGGGATAGTGGGAGAAAAATAAAGGAGGGGGTAATAATGTCCATCAAGAAATGTACTCACTACCTTACTGATGTAACTGTAACCTCTCTATACAGCATCTTTACAAGAAAATAAATTTAAATGATAAGTAAAAGAGACCATCAAAATCCACTTGGGAAGTATTGTTTTTCTTTAACTACTAGTTTGAACTCAGGGCTATCACTTTTGGTAGCCTGGCACTATAACACAGAGCTATTGCTCTGCTTTTCATTGGCGCTTTTTTTTTTGGGGGGGGGGTCGAGTCTTGAACACTGGGCCTGGGAGCTGTCCCTCAGGTCTTCAGCTCATGGAGAGTACTCTACCACTTGAGCTGCAGCACTACTTCCGGTTTTCTGTTGGTTAATTGGAGCTAAGAGTCTCACACACTTCCCTGCCCAGGCTGGCTTTGAACTGTGTTCCTCAGATCTCAACCTGAGTATCTAGGTTTATAGGCATGAGTCACTGGTGCCTGGCTCATTGGCTATTTGAGAAACAGTCTTGCTCCTTGAAAATTCCTGAGATGTGAACTACCTGTTTTGGGCTTCCTGTTATTTTGGAGATCACAGAAGCATGCCACTCCATGGAGACAGCCTTGTGGATTTCTTTTTTTTTTTTTGGGTCCGGTCGTGGGGCCTGAACACGGCCTGGGCGCTGTCCCTCAGCTCTTCAGCTCAAGGCTAGCGCTCTACCACTTGAGCCACATTGCCACTTCCGGCTTTTTTCTTTTTGCTTATGTGGTGCTGAGGAATCGAACCCAGGGCCTCATGCATGCAAGGCAAGCGCTCTACCACTGAGCCACCTTCCCAGCCCTAGTCTTATGGACTTCTGTGCCAGGGCTGCCCTGAAACCATGTGGTCTGATGGGTGGCAGGTGGATTCTTTTTAGATATTAGGGAGGAAGACCAGCAAGAGCCTCTATGCCCCCAGTTTGAAACAAAACAAAGCAAAAAAACCCTGCTATACCTGAAATCTTTATTGGTGACAGGAAATACGTCGATAGCAAAGGGTTTAACTGTTACTTCCCGGGCAGGCCCTTCACCATCTCTGCCATCTGGAGCATCTGTTCCCATCAGGAATCTCCCACCAGGCAGCTGGACCATGCTAGTGGTCTGTGCATTTCCTGCAGAACAGGAGTTACAAATAACTTATGTACATGGATATACACATAGGTATATATTCAATATATACATAGGTATATTGTATATAGATATCAATGACAGTGTTATATGTGGATTGTACATAATACTCAGGATATCACAAAACATAGAGCCTTAAAGTTAATTTATTTTATTTTTGCCAGTCCTGGGGCTTCAACTCAGGGCCTGGGCACTGTCCCTAAGCTGCTGCTGCTTCTTTTTTTTTTTCTGGTAGTGGGCCTGAACTCTGGGCATGGGTGCTGTCCCTCAGCTCTTCAGCTCAAGGCTAGTGCTCTACCACTTAAGCTACAGTGCCACTTCTGGCCTTTTCTGCTTATGTGGTACTGAGGAATTGAACCTATGGCTTCATGCATGCAAGGCAAGCAATCTACCCTAAGCCACATTCCCAGCGAGCCTTAAATTTTTTTTTTTGGTCGGTCATGGATCTTGAACTCTGGGCCTAGGTGCTGTCCCTCAGCTCTTCAGCTCAAGGCGAGTGCTTTACCACTTGAGCTACAGCGCCACTTCCGGTTTTCTGGTGGTTTATTGGAGATAGGAGTCTTATGGTCTTTCCTGCCTGGGCTGGCTTTGAACCATGATCCTCAGATCTCAGCCTCCTGAGATCTTGGCTAGGATTACAGGCATGAGCCACCAGTGCCCGGCGGCGAGCCTTAACATTTTAACTATAACTTCTTGTCTTGCCACTTAATTTGCTGGCAAATCTGAGACAAATTAATCTGTAATCCAGTTTTTTTTTTTTTGATTCCGGTCATGGGGCTTGAACACTCTTATTTCCAATAAACTGTTCAGAAAAAAGCCAGAAGTGGTGCTGTGGCTCAAGAGGTAGAGTGCTAGCTTTGAGCACAAAGAGGCTCAGGGACAGCACCCAGGCCTGGGGGGAAAAAAAAGAGGAAAAAAATAAAAATTAAAAAATTTGAAAAATTAAAAAAGAAAGAAAAAGTAAATATGCAATAAAAAATTAAAGGATTTTTACTGGGCATGGGTGGTTCACATCTATAATTCAAATTACAGGGGGTTGAGACCATCTGAGAATACTAGGTCAGTCAGTTCAGGCAGGAAAGTCCATGAGACTCTTGGCTCCAATTGATCACCAAAAGCCAAGTGGAGCTGAGCTGTGGCTCTAGTGGTAGAGTAGCCTTGAGCAAAAAAGCTCAGGAGCAGTACCTAGGCTCAGAGTTCAAACCCCGAATTGGCATGCATAAGTAAATAATATGCAGAACGTAAAATGGTCTAATGTCTGCATGCACTTTTGGCTCTGGGCGAGCGGGCTGGTCAGGAAATCTGGTCACAAGCCGACCTCCCGGCCCAATACGACAGTGTGCTGGCTCCCACGTTCACGGTCCCACCTGAGACCCGGGAGCCCAGGTAGGGGCGCGGGCGGGCGCAGCAAGGCCCAGCCCGGCCGCCGGCCCCTACACCAGGAACCTCGGGCCCACAGGCCCTAGGAGTCACCTTCCCGTCCCTCCGGAGGGCTCCTGGTCCTCCGCTTCCTACCACACCGGAATCAGAGGCGCTGGCGGACACTGACCTAGCTGGAGCCACGGGCCGCCTTGAAGAGGGAACAGAACCGCGAGCAGCAAAAGGAAGCCCATGACAGACGGCCAGACCCTGCAGCCCGCGCACGCGCCTCCGGAAGACCCAGCCTGCACTGCTACTGCGCGTGCGCACAGCCCAAAACACTAGCCACATGACTATGCGCATGCGCACAAAATCCCCTTCAGGCGACTGTGGGCTGGGCAAGCCCAGAATGAAAGTTCCTGACAAAGGTTGGGAAGGTGACTCTGGTAGAGCGCGCCTTGCATGCATGAGGCCCTGGGTTCAATTCCTCAGCACCATATAAGCAAAAAGAAAAAAGCCGTTAGTGGCGCTGTGGGCTCAGGCTCTCAAGTGGTAGAGCTCTAGCCTTGAGCTGAAGATCTGAGGGCCAGCGCCCAGGCCCAGAGTTCAGGCCCCATGAGGGGACCCAAAAGACAAAAACAAGTTCCTGACACTTAAGAAGTGCTTCATTGTTAGGAGGCTAATGTCACCCTTCATCTCACATTGCTTTAGCGCACCCACCACATAGGAAGATCACAAACAGGTTTCATTAACGTTTATTGCTCTCACGGAAGGACAACGCACGTTAGTCGAGGTGTTCGCTAAAGATTCCGGGATGCATATTTATAAATGTCAATTTATAATTTGAAGACTGGAGCCGGTGGCTCATGGCTGTAATCCTAGCTACTCAGGAGGCTGAGATCTGAGGATCATGATTTAAAGCCTGCCCTGGCAGGGAAGTCTGAGAGTCATCTCCAGCTAACCACCAGAAAACCAAGTAGTGCTGTGGCTCACCTGGTAGATAACTAGCTTTGAGCTGAAGAGCTCAGGGACAGTACCCTGTCTCAGGGTTCAAGCCCCATGACCAACCAAAAAAAAAATTGGTTTGAAAATGGCCTAATATGGGGAGGATTGGGTGGGGGGATGGGAGGAGGATGGGAAAGGGAAACAAAGGAGGAAGCTACAATGCTTGATAAGAAATGTACTCATATATCTTGCCCATGTAATTGTAACCCCTCTGTACAGTATTTTCACAAGAAAAAAAAATGGCCTAATATGTTCTTTCACCACATTACCCAGCCCCCTTAGGTGTTTCTGCCATTTTTCCACCCCTGTATTTTGTCCTATTACATTTCCAATGGTGCATTGTTGTCTCTAGTTCACTTTTCTCACAAGCATGAAATACAAAGATCTGATACTTTACTTGTTGGTCATGGGGCTTGAACTGAGGACCTGGCTACTGTCTCTAAGTAGTTCTTCTGCTCAAGGCTACCGCTCTACCACTTTTGAGCTACAGCATCACTTCCCGTTTTCTGGAGATAAGTCTCACAGACTTTCCTGCTTGGGCTGGCTTTGAAACATAATCCTCAGATCTCAGCCTCCTGAGTATCTAAGATTACAGGCTAGATCCAATAATTTATAAAGCCATCAAGTTTGTAGATGCTCTTATTTCTGAAAAGTTTAATACTTAAATGTTTAATAGGAAATTGTTGGTTAGAATACAGCCACAAATTATTGAACCATTAATATTTCCCAAGGAATATTTAATAAACAAGGCAGGTAACATATGCTTATCTAATATTAATTTTACACCACTGCAAATCAAAACACATATCCTGCTCTCTGGACCTGCTTTATGTGATACACTCAGTGCAATTTAAAAAATAATGTAACTACAATTTCACAATGTCATAATTTGAATAGATGTCAAGTATCCTCTTTTCAGATTCCTTTGAACATCATTTGAAGCTTGGAAAAAAGGTCCACATTTCCATCCTCAGCATCATCCTGCAGTCAAGATCCAGATGTTGGAGGCTTCCGTTCAACCTTTTAGAGAAGACATTCCAGCTCGCATGATCTCATCAACTAGTAGAATGTTTGTGGCAATCACAGTGCTGAGGGGGGAAAAAATCATCAGAAGGCTCAAACAAACCCAATTCAATCCAACTTCCCATTTCCATCTACATTGCACACATTATGTTCAAGTTTCAATACTCTACAGTGTGTCTGTACATGTGCGTTAAGAACAGACCAAACGAAGGCACACTCAGTCCTTAACAGGTAGGAACCACAGGCAGACCTGAAACTCAACCAATCTAGGCCTGCAAATGATGTTATAAATACCAGAGGGGCCCATTCAGAGAAAAGGTTCCCAGCCCTGCCTTAAAAGATGTTTCAGTTTTGGTTTCCCCAAACTTACCAGGAGTGAAGAAGCTGTTTCTTCACGCAATAGTTATCCCATATGCCTGCCTCTGCTGCTACCATTGGTTCACCTGAAAGGTAACCAAGTATTCTTAAAATCATTCAGGGTAGAGGTCATAGCATCAAATGCTGTCTGTAATAACACTATTTTACAAATTAATGTCATCAACTGTAGATAATAAAGCCAATCAAGACCAAAATGTAACAGTACTTTAAGCTGCTGTTCTCACCACGCATGATTCATTCCATATACTAAAGATGAACCTTTATTACACCTAGCTTCCCATGGTGGTGCGCTCTCACAGGCTCCTGAATCTTTACTCTGCATATATTCTTCTTTACCCTATTAAAAACAGTGTTCCAGCCAGGCGCCACACTACTCAGGAGCCTGCAATCTGAGAATCGCTGTACAAAGGCCAGCCTGGGCAGGGAAGCCCTTGAGACTTAACTCCAATTAGCCACCAAAAAAGGTAGAAGTAGAGCTGTGGCTCAAGTGCCAAGAGCACTGTGTGTTGGCCTTCAGTATAAAAGCTCAAGGACAGTGTTGAGGACTTACTGAGACCCCTTTTTCTTGTATTATGTGCTATACTTTCCACTTGTGAATATAATAATCTTTATTTATTTATTTTTGTTGTCATGGGGCCTCAACTCTGGGCCTGGGTGCTGTCCCTTCGCTCTTCAGCTGTAGACTAGAGCTCTACCACCCTCAGCCCCACTTCTGGCGTTTTCTGCTTATGTTGTGCTGAGGAATCTAAACAAGGGCCTCATGCATGCAAGGCAAGCACTCAACCACTGAGCCATCTTCCCAGCTCCTATAATGATCTTATAACAAACTGATTTAAAAAAAAAAATCAGTGCACTGGTGGCTCATGCCCATAACACTAGCCACTCAGGAGGCTGAGATCTGAGGATCACGGTTCAAAGCCAGCTCAGGCAAGAAAGTCTCTTATCTCCAACTAACCACCAGAAAACCGGAAATGGCACTGTGGCTCAAGAGGTAGAGCACTAGCCTTGAGCTGAAGAGCTCAGGGGCAATGCCCAGGCCCAGAATTCAAGCCCCACAATGATTTGTATTTTGCTTCAAGAAGCCTAGAGTTTCTGATAATACAGTACCAAACTGAAAACAATGTATCACTATTCTTTCCATCTCTCCTAGCTTTATCTCATTTATAGTCTATTTCTCCCAGTACAAACAGCTGTATTCTCTTACCTGTGTTCAAGTCCACGCCCACAAGTTGACCAGATTCTGAATGTTCTGCTTGTATTTTAACTAATGTTTCTTGAAGGTCAAAACCAGAGTTCTGAGCAAGAACCTAAACAAATTCATTGTGGAGAAGATAAAAACTAAGAATTGAGAATGAAATTATTTCCAATTTTTTTTCTCCAAAAATCAATGAAAACATGCAGGATGCCAATAGCTCAGTTATAATCTTAGCTACCCAGGAGGCTGAAATCTGAGAGTCATGGTTTAAAACCAGCAAAGGGGGCTGGGAAGGTGGCTCAGTGGTAGAGCGCTTGCCTTGCATGCTCGGGGCCCTGGGTTTGAATCCTCAGTACCACATAAGCAAAAAGAAAAAAGCCGGAAGTGGCGCTCTGGCTCAAGTGGTAGAGTGTTAGCCTTGAGTTGAATTGCTGAGGGACAGTGCCCAGGCCCAGAGTTCATGCCCCACAACGGGAGCCCCCCCCCCAAAAAAATGAGCCAAGGCCCGTGAGACTTAAAATTACCAAACCCACCAATACACTGCTAATACACTAAAATTAACCTTTGATGAGGACATAATAGAGAATTGATTGTTTGGCAGCTGAGCTAAAGGACAAAGAACAAGCTGCACAGATATCTAACTCCTACCCTTTCTTTAAGACAAGGTCTCCAGGCCAGTGCCAACATGAGTGCTGGGATTATAGGTGTGGGCTACAGTACACTGGCCAGTACTCTTAAGTTATCTCTTTCTTCAAGAAACTTTGAAAGAGATTCAAGTATCCCAGAAAAGGAGGAAATGGATCAAATCTGCTTACTCCAAATCCTCATCATGGCAAAAGAAAACACAACTGTATTATCAATAAACCTTTGAATCAGTTGAATTGTTTTGGTGTAGTATATTTTATTTTGTATTTTTTTGGGTCCAGTCGTGGGCCTGAACTCTGGGCCTGGGCATTGTCCCTCAGCTCTTCGCCTCAAGGCTAGCGCTCTACCACTTGAGCCACAGCGCCACTTCTGGCTTTTTTTCCTGCTTATGTGGTGTTGAGGATCGAACCCAGGGCCTCATGCATGCAAGGCAAGCGCTCTACCACTGAGTCACCTCCAAGCCCTGTTTTGGTGCAGTTTAAAGAAATTTGATTACTAAATAAGTAACCATACCTTGGGAATAATAAGCAATGCATCGGCAAATGCTTGGACTCCAAGCTGGGCCCTGCCTTTTATACTTGGCTTGTATTTGATCAGAGCCTCTGCCATTGCTACTTCCACTGCACCAGCGCCTGGAACCACACAGCCTGTTGGGTGAGAGAAAAAGAGAAATGCTAAAGCCTCAACAAATACAACAGCAGAATCAATTGTAAAGAAAACATACATACATGAAAACACATGAGGAAGCCATGACTTTTAAAACTCACTCTGGCCACAACCATTTAAATGTAGCACTGCATTTGCTTGTTCACTTGTTTTACCTCATACTTGCTATGCAAGGGGGCTCCACTAGTCATACCTACAACCCATGTAATCACATCTGAAAGCCACATATGAGTAACTAACACAGCAAACAGTACCTCTTGTGAGCTATTAGTATTAGTTCACTTATCTGTATTCACTTTTAATGATACACTATGTAAAAATAGCATACCATCAGTTATTTTAAAATGAACATTTACTTTTGCATGGTGTCTGGCTGTGTAAATTATTGACGAAAGAACACAGTATTCTGCCATGCCTGTTATATAGGGAACAAAGCCAGGTGCCAGTGGTACATGCCTGTCATCCTAGCTATTCAGGAAGAAGTCCATGAGACTCTTATCTCTAATTAACCACCAGAAAACCAGAAGTGGCCCTGTGGCTCAAAATGGTAGAGCACTTGCCTTGCTGAAGATCTCAAGGACAGAGCCTAGGCCCAGAGTTCAAGTACTGTGACCAACAAAAAAGAAAAACAAAATACAGGAAACAGCTTACCATCATCAATAGCATTTTTGACAGCCCTCAAGCCATCTCTGATTGCATCTTTGATTTGAGTGAGTGTGTGCTTATTTGGTCCTTTGACCAACAATGTGACAGAACGGGGATTGTTACATTTCTCAATAAAGGTGAACTTCTCTTCTCCCTATATGTAGAAGACACATTATTTCAGAAATAGGATATGGCTATGCAATAAGTGAACCGAGGAGAGGCATATATAGAGAACAAATAATGTGTCAGTAGAGAAAAATACTGACTTTATTCAAGCAAATCTTGGCTTAAAAAACCAACATATAGAGGCTGAGATCTGAGGATTGCATTCAAAGTCAGCCTGGGCAAGAAAGTCTGTGAAACTCTTATCTCCAATAAACCACGAGAAAACCGGAAATAGCGCAGTAACTCAAGTGGTAGAGTGCCAGCCTTGAACTGAAGAGCTGATGGACATCGCTCAGGCCCAGAGTTCAAGCCCCACGACCAACGTGGTGGGGGGACACACATACCAAAGAAACGTGGCTTTTTTTTATGTCAATGGCTTGTCATTATTACACATAAACCATCACATTTACATAAACAAGATTGATCCTGAGTTTGAATTTTCCTACTAAAGAATTCATGAACAACAAGTACTATTAGGTTTAGAAATAAAATACACCTACCAAAGTATATTCATAGACAAGTCCTGCATGTCCCAAACAGTCAGGATTTAGGTCATCAAAAGAATTTAGAGCTACTCCACCACAAGCAAGAATCAATCTGAAATATTAAAATGTTTTTTGAGATGTATTAGCAATGTTATGTTCAACAAGAACAAATTTCAGCAAGTTTTCACAATTATGTAACTGAATTATATTCTAAAATTCCAACCTAAACCTTTCTACCCACCAATGAGTGGGAGATCATTCTTTATTCCTGACCCTCCTTCCCAAGGTCAGTAAATTCCTCCAATATGAACCTTAATGAGGAAAACTATCATCATCATCATTTTTTGTCAAACAGGGGTTTGTACTCAGCTTCACACTTTCAACCTGCTTCTTCCTTCATAGTTGGCAATTTACCCTTTGAGCTATACCTCCAGCTCTGACTTTTGCTGATTAATTGAAGAGTCTCTCAGATTTGGCTGCCTGGGCTGGCCTCCTGAACAGCTAGGATTATAGGCTGAGTCACCAGTCCCTGGCTTAATGTTGCCTCTTGACAAAAAAAAGTCAGTAGTGTATGTCATGGCTTTAAATTAAAACAAGTATATAGAAATGGTCAAAATTATTTATATAGCCAAAATGTAGGAACCACAGAAATGTCTGACAGATAACTAAACAAAATGTGATACCTTCCCACAAAGGAATATTTTCAGCCTTACAAAGGAATGAGATTTTGATACATGTTATAACATGGACATTATGTTTCGTAGGCCAGATGTAATGGATGAGAAGAATGTGACAAGGGGGAACCAATGCAACAGCAATGTACGATGTACGCAAGACAAACCCCTCTGTAATCACCTTGACAATTAAAAAAAAAGAACTGTGAAACCCCACTAATGTGAAATACTGAGAAGAGAATGAGTAGGTGTAGAGACAAAAAACCCTGAAGATGAATAGTGGTAATGGTGGCACAATAATCTTACTATAGTCCCAGATCAAACTGGGCTACAGAGACAAAGAAAACAAAAGCAAAAGTAGATGAAAAAAAAAAAAGAAATAATCTTAATTTACTTACAAAGTAGGTAAAATTCACATTACCAGACAATCTGACCATACCTCTCCATATTTCTTCTTTTAGCTCTGCGCAGAGCGACTATGCCTTCTTTTGCAAAAGCATCTAAGGAAAACGGGTCAATTCCCTATAATTGAAACAAAATTATTTTTACTATCTTTCACCTGAAAAAATAAAACAGACTAGTTTATAAGTTTGATTTTCATTCTTACCTTCTGGTTAATAACAATAAACCCTTTATCTGAATCTCCACAAACTTTCCTTTTCAGTTCTATGACTTTTTTAACTTTATCTTCAATAAATTTTCTTTCAGCTTTTACTAGTTTTTCTCTCTCTTCTGCACTCTTGTAGAAAAAGCCAGAACTCACTTCTCTGTTAAAAAAAAAAAAATTACACAAAGGGGAAAACTTTATTATGGAGCTGAGAAACTGAGCTAGTTGTACCTTTTTTTTTTTTTTGCTGGTCATGGGGCTTGAACTCTGGGCCTGGGTACTATCCTTCAGCTCTTCAGCTCAAGGCTAGTGCTCTACCAATTGAGCCACAGCGCCACTTCTGGTTTTCTGAGTGGTTTATTAGAGATAAGAGTCTCATGGACTTTCTCGGCCGGGTTGGCTTTGAACTGTGACCCTCAGATCTCAACCTCCTGAGTAGCTAGGGTTATAGGCGTGAGCCATCAATGCCTGGCAGTTGTATATTTTAAGAGGTTGTTTTCCACAAAAGCAAAACTGAGGCAAACTATCATCCTTACAGAAGCAAAAATAAATGTTAAGCATGAAATCCTGGGTTTGATTCCTTGCAACATATGTGCAGAAAAAGCAGGAAGTGGCACTGTGGCTCAAGTCCTAGGACTGGCACAAAAAAAAAAAAAAAAAAGATTTGCAGTTGGATGATGGTGGCTTAACACCTATAAGCCTAGCTATTCAAGAGACTGAAATCTGTAGGATTGAGGTTCAAAGCCAGCCTAGGAAGAGAAGTCCGTGAGACCATATCTCTAATACATAGCAAAATGCTGAGCTGGAGTTTTAACTCAAGTGACAAAAACTGCAAACTGTATTGGCTGGCAATGTGGCTTAGTGAGTGTTTGAGTAGCATGCATGAAGTCCTGAGTTCAATTCCTCAGTATCACATACACAGAAAAGGCTGGAAGTGGTCCTGTGGCTCAAATGGTAGAGTGCTAGCCTTGAGCAAAAGAAGCTCAGGGACAGTGCCCAAGCCCTGAGTTCAAGCCCCAGGACTGGCACACACACAAAAAAAAAAACAACCCCAAACACCTCCCTTACCCCCCACCCCCACCCCGCAAACTGAGCACAAAAGCTAAGTAAGAGTACAAACCACCAAAATTTAGTCCCAGAATTAGCCAAAAGATAACTGGTAGCCAGGCACCAGTAATCCCAGCTACTTAAGAGGCTGAAATCTGAGGATCAACGTTTGAAGCCAAGCCCAGGCAGGAAATGTCTAAGGGAATCTCATCTTCAATTAAACACCAAAGAGCTGGATGTGGAGCTATGGTCAAGTGGCAAAGTGCTAGCCTTGTGGAAAAAGCTCTGGAACAGCACCCAGGCTCTGAGGTTCAAGCTTCAGGACTGGCATGTGCGGGCCCCCTCCCCTTCCATAGTCTACTCCATTTCAAAGGGGGTATATGAACTTACGTTTTTTCATATTCTAATGACACATTGCATGTAAGGATGTATGCATTTTCTACCCTTTTCTTCATGTCAGGATGCCGTGCCCCATGATCCAAAACAAGTCCTCTTATTAAGCTGTAAAAACAACATTTATAACATCATTGGTTTTCAGGTTGGGACTGTACCAGATTTAAGAAAATGAAACACTGAAGTATACCTTAACTCCTACAATTACTTGATTAAGACTGTCAGTGGAACTTAGGGAGGTCAACTGTGAAAATGCAACATCCCTAAACAGGAGAGGCTATTCAAAAGTAACTATTCTATTTGTTATAAAAAATTCTGTAGAGATAGTCTCAATTGGCAGCCTATCAAACTGATTACCTTCTTTAAAGAAATGTTTTTGCTAAGTCTTTGAAAAAAAATTCTTTTTGCAGACAAACTCCAAGTCTCTAATTATGCTTTATATAACAAATCACTGATGCAGTGTTCTTTTGTTTGTTTGTTGGTTGATCTTGAGCTTGAACTCTGGGCCTGGGCACTATCCCTGAGTTCTTCAGCTCAAGGTAAGCACTCTACTATTTGAGCCATAGCACCATTTCTGGTGGTTAATTGGAGATAAGAGTCTCATGGACTTTCCTGCCCAAGATGGCTTTGAATCACCATCCTTAGATCTCAGCCTCCTGAGTAGCTAGATCACAGGCATGAGCCACCAGCACCAGGCTTGCAGTGAACTTTTGAGAATTATTTGATCATAAACACTGCATCCCATTTCAAAATGAAATAATACTCAGTAAATGTAGCATCTAATTGACTTATCTAAACATACAATAAATATTTCCAGGCTGACAGTGTAACTTAGTGGTAGAACACCTGTTTAACATGTGTAAGGCCCTGGTTTTCATACAGCATCAAAACAAAACCCAAGGGCTGGGAAGGTGGCTCAGTGGTAGAGCGCTTGCCTTGCATGCCTGAGGCCCTGGGTTCGATTCCTCAGCACCACATAAGCAAAAAAGAAAAAAGCCGGAAGTGGCACTGTGGCTCAAGTGGTAGAGCACTAGCCTTGAGCTGAAGAGCTGAGGGACAGCGCCCAGGCCCAGAGTTCAGGCCCCACGACTGGACCTCCCTCCCCCCAAAAAAACCCAAATGGTATTTCCTAGCATTCCATTTCCTACCTTGTGTCAGTTTCAGATTTATGTTTCATCTCCATGATCTCAACCATGAACAAGTCAATAGGTTCATCTTTTTTTTTAATGGCCAAAATGGAGTCCACTACAGCCTATTAAACAGGAGTATAACCATTAAATTACATTTGATTCAAAAATAGAAAACACTTATTCTCTACAGAAGTTTAGTTTTTTTAAATTTCTGAATTGATCGGAGTCTTTTCTCCATGAGCAAATAAAATTCACTAGAAATAAAAGGCCTAAGACCACTCATGTGGGCTGGGAAGGTAGCTCAGTGATAGAGAACTTGCTTGCCTTGCATACAGGAGGCCCATGTTTATGAGAGCCACATAAACAGAAAAAAGCCAGAAGTGGCACTGTGGCTCAAGTGGTAAAGTGCTGGCCTTGAGCTAGAGCTAAAGGACAGTGCCTAGGTCCAGAGTTCAAACCCCATGGAAGACACTCATGTCCCCTCCCCCCCCAAAACAAAACACCTCACTTCGTAACTGCCCAACTAGCAGTTATCTGTTCTACCATTTTATTAAAAACTTAATCTAAGGGCTGGGAAGGTGGCTTAGTGGTAGAGTGCTTGCCTTGCATGCATGAGGCCCTGGGTTCAATTCCTCAGCACCACATAAGCAGAAAAAACTGGAAGTGGTACTGTGGCTCAAGTGGTAGAGCACTAGCCTTGAGCTGAAGAGCTGAGGGACAGCGCCCAGGCCCAGAGTTCAGGCACCATGACTGGCAAAAAAAAAAAAAACAAAAAAAAACTTAATCTAAAAAAAAAAAAAGAGAAAAATAAATAAATAAATTAAAAAAAAAAGAGAAACAAGGGACTGGGAAGGTGGCTCAGTGGTAGAGCGCTTGCCTTGCATGCATGAAGCCCTGGGTTCGATTCCTCAGCACCACATAAGCAAAAAGAAAAAAGCCGGAAGTGGCACTGTGGCTCAAGTGGTAGAGCACTAGCCTTGAGCTGAAGAGCTGAGGGACAGCGCCCAGGCCCAGAGTTCAGGCCCCACGACCCGACCCAAAAAAAAAAAAAAAAGAGAGAAACAAACTTAAGTTTAGTGTCTCCCAACACAAAGAAACGGGTGTTTAAGGAAACAAATGCTAACTTGATTATATATGGTATGCATATTTCACACTCTTCCCCATAAACATGTGGAATTAAAAAATACAAGTAACTGCAAGTTTTCTAATAATAAACCCTCCATTTTATGATCCTTTCAAATGAAAGCCAGAAGTATGCTTCTAATACCTGGCTATATGTATTCACATAGCATCTCATAAGTGGAGTGAACACAGATCTATACCATTGGAGATACCCATGCATACTGTACCAACTGTACCACACATACCTCTGTTAAGACATCTGCTAGTTCAGCATGAACTTTAGTACGGAGAGAGGTTCTGGCCACATCTATGAGTGTTTCCCTGTCCATCTCTTTGTTTACTTTGATTTGTTCCAAAAACTGAAGGGCCTTGTCCTTTGCAGCTTCAAAACCTTCAGTGATTATTCTGGGATGAAGACCCTACACACACATGCACAAATTACACCAGCAGTAACTTTCATCTTTAATTAAGTCCAATTCACCAAAGCTTTTGAAGGGACACTCTGGATTGTTCATCATTTTTAATAAAATGAAGGTAACAAAATGTGCTGACTTTCTGAATACATTTCAAAGGTGAAATACCCATTTGAATGCAGAGGAAAAGAACAGATATTACTCTAGCACAGAGTCAAAGCCAAGGAAACTACAAAGCACCCTTGGGTGTTCACTGTGCAAACCATCAGGAATAAGACCAAACCTCAAAACCTCAAAAACCTCTAAAATTTTCAGTTAACAAGAATATATTTTTTCCCTACAGATTATCTGCAGTTAATTCATGTCATTTAGCAATAAAAATGAATAAAAGGAGACTTATAGAGTGTACATTCCTTTTGGCTAGGAAATTCTGGCAGTGGTTTAGTATTCATTATTGTTTTAACCTTTGGTTAAGTAGGAAGCTGGGCGCTGGTGGCTCACACCTGCAATCCTAGCTACTCAGGGGGCTGAGATCCAAAGATTGCTGTTCAAAGCCAGCCCAGGCACCAAAGTCCGTGAAACTCTGATCTCCAATAAGTCTCCAGAAAACCAGAAGTGGTGCTGTGGCTAGAGTGGTAGAGCGCTTGCCTTGAGCTGAAGAGCTAAGGGACATTGCCCAGGCCCAGAATTCAAGCCCCACAACCGACAAAAAACAAAACAAAAAAATTGTAGGATGCTTACACAGTTGTCCCCCTGCCCCTCTGCCTTTTTGCATTTTATTGGTAGTGGGGCTTGAACTCCAGCCTGGATGCTGTCTCTGAGCTTCAATTTTGCTCAAGGCTGGTGCTCTACTACTTGAGCCACAGTGCCACTTCAGGCCTTTTCTGTTTATGTGGTACTGAGGAATCGAACCCAGGGCCTCATGCATTCTAGGCAAGCACGCTACCACTGAGCCACATTCCCAGCTCCTCTGAGCTTTTGTGTTCAAAGTTAGGGTTCTACCACTTTTGAGCCCCAGCCAGTGCCACTTTTGGATTTGAGATGACTTTCAAAGACTTACTGCTTGGGCTGGCTTTGAACCATGATCCTTAGATCTCAGCCTCTTGAGTAGCTACAATTACAGGCATGAGCCACAATGCCCAGTTTTGACTTTTCTTCTTTTTTAAACAGAGATAGATATCATTGATTGATGAATGTATCCTGGTAATTTTTTTCAGGCCATGATAGGTATCATAACCTGTCCATAGTCACAGTAGGATAAAGACACAGGTTCCTAGACTCAGACTCCCTAGTTTGGCCTCAGTCATCGGGAACCTATCAACACCAGGTATCTCTTACACAGAACAAGACAAGGGAATCAGGCTCACCTCAGAAATATAGAGATCTGCCTGCTTCAGCAGCTCTCCAATGATAAGGACATTGGAAGTAGTACCATCACCAGTTATGTCATCCTGAGCTGTAGCTACTTTTGCTATTAAGGAGGCTGTTGGATGCTGAATTTGCTGCAAGTAGAAAAAGAATTATATCATTATCTGAGTTTAAGTTGTCCTGATATTTGGCTATATATGACTGATTTAATTAACACCAATTCATCATCATCAAAATTCTTGCACAAACTTGTCACTTCTCAGGTATTTTCCTTTGGTGACAGGAGACTTGAGCTTCAGTTAAGGTGCAATCATAAGGACAAACAGTAAGATAAATCTAGTAATTTTCTGAAAATAAGCCTAGTAGTTCCTGTACTTAGAATAGAAGACCAAGGGAAAGAACTGAGGGTTTAGGCCCAGACTGGACTACACAGCAGAAACTCTCTCAAAACAGCAAAAAACAAATGATTCAAGGAAAAATTAGTAAATTAAGAAGCCCAGCACTGTGGCTCACACCTGCTGTAATCCTAGCTACTCAGTAGGCTGTGACTTGAGGACTGCAGTTTAAAGCCAGCCAGGACAGCAAAGTCTGTTGAGATTCTTATTTCCAAAAGTGAAACTGTGGCTCAAATGGCATAGTACCACCTCAAGCAAAAAAGCTAACGGACAAGTTCAAGCCCCAGTATCCCGCCTCCCAACAAAGCAAAATTTAAGTGATGAATCTAGGCAAAATGCATAGAGGTACTCTATTCTCTTAACCTTTTTTTTTTGTCTTTTCTTCTTTGGTACCGGGGATCAAACCTACGATGTTCCACTTGTTAGGCAAACGCTTTGCCACTGAGCTACATCCCTTACCTTTTTGTTTGTAATTTTCCAAAGCATACATCTGGCAACTGAGGGTTAGGGGTTGGGGAGGAATTCTGCTGAAGTTGAAACAACTTTTTCCTTAGCTGAGCATTCTATGTTCACTTCACAATTAGGCCACAACAACTAACTGCTTCTCTGTGCTTTCTGTATAACCCTGTGCTTACTAGTTACATTAAATAATAAAAGTAAATAAAAGCAAAAAAAAAAAATAAAGTGCATCTCTTGGGTCAGCTAGTCCTTACCGAAGATACGAGTAACATCTGGTTGTTGACATGGTACACCATTATCAAAGCCTAAATTTGAATTAAGTGTGCTGTGGTGCACATCTAATTCCAGAACTGGGGAGGCTGAGGCAGAAGTATTTCAAGTTTGAGAGCCGGCTGAACCACATGGGCGGATTGTCTCAAAATGCAAAAACAAAACAAAATTTAAAAAAACCCACCAATTTTATTCTGAACTCACATCAGAGGCAATTTTTTTTCTTGAATTTGAACTGTACCGAAGTTCAAATGAGTAGCAGACAATCTCAACTTTTTTTCTTGGTTGGTTGTGGGGCTTGAACTCTGGGCCTGGGCACTATCCCTCAGCTCTTCAGCTCAAGGCTAGTTGCTCTACTGGAGCCACAGCGCCCACTTCTAGCCTTTTCTGTTTATGTGGTGTTGAGGAATCAAACTCAGGGCCTCATGTTATGCAAGGCAAGCATTCTACCACTGAGCCACCTTCCCAGCCCCTTAACTTTTTTCTCCTCTTAGTGCTGCTTCTGTGCGGGACCAACTTTTGTGCTTAAGGAAAGCAGATCTATTTGAGCCACACCTCCTGCCTGGGCTGGATTCAAACAGTGATCCTCTCAGCTCTGCCTCCTAAGTAGCTAGGATTACAAGGGTGAGCTACTATTTCTGACCAATCTGTCTGATAGAATACTCTTTTCTTTCTGCCTTGATAATGAACACTAGAAAACCTTCCATAAGCCAGACCAAACTGGAAAGCCCAGCCCCCTGGACCCAGCCCTGCAGCCTCACCATCTCGTGTAGCAGCACGTTGCCATCTTTCGTCAGCTTGATGTCTCCGGCGCCCGAAACGAGCCTGTCAAAGGGTTAGAAATGGATGCATCAAGCCCAGCACTGGTGGCTCACGCCCGTAATCCTAGTTACTCAGAAGATCTGAGGATCTCAGTTTACTGGAGACTCATCTCCAATAAACTGAGAAAAGGCCCCGGAAGTGGTGTTGTGCCTCAAATGGTACAAAGAGGCCCAGGGACAGAGCCCAGGCCGAGTTCAAGGCCCGGGACCGGCAAGAGGAAAAAAAAAAAAAAGAAATGGATGAATCAGCGCGCGACCTTCCAAGGGAAAGCGAACGAAGAATCCCATCAGGAAACCCGGAGCCCGGGACGGAGGGAGGGATCAGCGCTCTCGAAGGGGTGTAAAGAGTGTAAGGAGGGCAAGGAAGGGCCCGCTTCCCCGCGGCAGGGGTGCAAGGGTAATGCCCACCTCCCCCCAAGCACCGGGAGGCCGAGCCCGCAGGCCGCAAAGGGCGGGCGGGGCGGCGCCGCGCGCGCAGGCGGCTTTGTCCTCCGCCCAGCAGCCCCGCACCGGGTCCAGCAGGCAGCGGCGCATTGCAGAAGGACTCGGATCGGCCCAGGATCAGGCGGGAGACGGGTGGGAGGCCGGGCGGCCCGTCCGCCCGCCGCGGTCCCCTCCGGCCCCTCCCCGTGGACCCGCCTTACATCTTCATGGTGCCCTTAGGCCCCAGGTTAGTCCTCAGCACGTCCTGCAGCCCCCGTGCCGCGCTGATGTTGACCGCCAGCGCCGCCTGCGCGCGGGCGACCTCAGCTTTGGGGTTCAGGGTCTTCACAGCCGCCATAGCTGCCGCCGCTGCAGAGGAACAGACCGAGAACAGCGAACTCGGGTCACAGCCCAGCTCGGCGTGGTCGGGAGGCGCTCATCCGGGGCTTCTGGAAAAGTCTGACGCTCTCGGCCCGCCCCTCCCTGCGGCCGACGTGCAGCCGCCATTGGGCCGCGGCGAGGCTGCATCCGCTGATTGGCTCGCTGCGCCGTGGCGCCTATAGCCCCGCCTGTCGCGCCGGCTGTGCGCCACCGCGCGCGGGAGGTGTGGTCTGGGCTCCGGCGTTCCGGGGCCGCCGCGGGCATGAATGGCGCGGGCCAGGTGGCCAGTGGGCTTCTCTTTGCCGGATGTTTCTGGCCCCAGGGCACAGCCAAGTCTTTTCGGGGGTGGGGTAGGGCGGCCCCCGATTCTTCCTTGGTTTACTTTCTCCCGTCTCCCGGCCGCAAGCCGCGTGTTCGGGGTGCAGGGAGCCCTTCCCGGGGCAGACGTGAGCCCGCGAGCCTGGGTGAGCGCGGCCTCGGCCAGCCTTGGGAAAGTCCAGGAATTTCCAGTGACCGGCGCCGCGCGGATGCTCGTCATCTCGGCCCTCCTGGAGCTAGAGGCGAGTGTGAAACCTGCTTGGGCCACGTAGTGAGATCGTGTCCGAGAAATACCACAGAAACGTCCCGAAAACCACCCCAACTGCTTTTTAGTATCCCGCATTTCCACCCGGAAGTCAAGGCCGCAAGCTCGGTCAGCCTTTTCTGCTCAAGGAGGGTTCATCACCACTTGAGCCACACCAGTTCTAGCTTTTTGCTGGTTAATTATAGATAAAAATTCCGATGTGGCGGGGCTGGGTAGGCGGCTCAGTGGTAGAGTGCTTGCCTTGGATGCATGAGGCTCTGGGTTCGATTGTCAGCACCACATAAGCAGAAAAAGGCCAGAAGTGGCACCATGGCTCAAGTGGTAGAGCACCAGCGTTGAGCTGAAGAGCTGAGGGACAGCACCCAAGGACCAGAGTTCAGGCCCCATGACTGACAAAAACAAAACAAAACTCGGATTTGTTTTTCTGGGCTGGCTTTGGTCCTCAAGATCTCACCCTTCTGAATATCTAGGATTATAGATGTGCTCCACTGGCACCTAGCATGGTGTGTGATACTCTGCAAGAACGACACTAACTTGGGCTGACATTTAAGTCGTTTTGCTGTTAAGGGTGAAATGAATGTGCTGGTATATAACGCCTTAAAGTAGGTTTGTAGATTTGAGTTCCATAAGAGCACCTATATAAGTTTAAATTACAGTGCCCAGTAGAAGACTCAGATAATTTAGTGGCTATTGATTGGTGCTATTTGGATTTACTATAACGACTGGTAAAAATGTATAGGGATAAAAACATTAACAAATACACAGACCAAAAAAACATGCAATTTCAGGCATCTGCTTATGAGTGAAAGAAGGTATAAGGGCCTGTTAGAGAAAGGTGGGTAATAGAATGGGGAGAGAAGCAACAGACAAATCTGCAGAAATAGATTCCTCTTGTGGTTTGGTGTGCTAGTTAAAAAGTCTGGGGGGCTGGGAAGGTGGCTCAGTGGTAGAGCGCTTGCCTTGCATGCATGAGGCCCTGGGTTCGATTCCTCAGCACCACATAAGCAAAAAGAAAAAAAAGCCAGAAGTAGTGCTGTGGCTCAAGTGGTAGAGCGCTAGCTAGCCATGAGCTGAAGAGCTGAGGGACAGCGCCCAGGCCCAGAGTTCAGGCTCCATGACTGGACCCCCCCCCAAAAGAAAAAGAAGTGGGGGGGGTTAGAGGGTGGAGGGTGGGAAGGGATGGGAAGGTGAAACAAAGCAGGAGGCTACAATGCTTGATAAGAAATGTACTCATTATTTTGCCCATGTAATTGTAACCCCTCTACAGTATTTTCACAATAAAAAAATTAAAAAAAAAAAAAAGAAAAAAAAAGTCTGGAGTCAGGTTCCAGTAATTCATACTTGTAATCCTAGCTACTCTGGAGTCTGAGATCTTGATCCTGGTTCAAAGCCAGCCTATGCAGAAAAGCTCAAGAGAATACATCTTCAGTTAACTACCAAAAAACTGGACTTAGAGCCATGGTCCAAGTGATTGAGTGCCAGCCATGAGCAAGAAAGCTGAGTGAGAGACACTGAACTCAAGCGTTGGAACTCAAAAAAAAAAAGGCAGCGGAAACCTAAAGAACTAATGAAAAAGCTTTTTAGTTTGATATTATTGCATTATTGGGTTTGTTCTTATGCTTTTGGAATCCTATTAAAAAGGCCTTACTCATTACAGGATTAAATTTAAGTCTTAAATTTGAGTTGATTTTGTAACTGATGACAGGGTTCTAGTTTGACACTGCTCACCAACAATCCTAGCATTTTTATTATTATTATTTATTTTTTGTCTGGTATGGAGCCTGAACTCTGGGCCTGGGCACTGTCCCTCAGCTCTTCAGCTCGGCTAGTGCTCTACCCACTTGAGCCACAGCACCACTTCCAGCTTTTTTCTGCTTATGTGTTGTTGAAGAATCGAACCCAGGGCTTCATGCATGCAAGGCAAGCACTCTACCACTGAACCACCTTCCCAGCCCCCCATTAGCATCATTAAAAAGATGGTCCTAAACCTGCCGCCGGTGGTACACGCCTGTAATCCTAGCTACTCAGGAGGCTGTGATCTGAGGATCAAGGTTCAAAGCCAGCCCAGGCAGGAAATTCCATGAAACTCTTATCTCCAATAAACCACCAGAAAACTGGAAGTGGCGCTGTAGCTCAAGTGGTAGAGCCCTTGCCTTGAGCTGAAGAGCTGAAGGATAGCACTCAGGACCAGAGTTCAAGCCCCACGACCTACAAAATAAATAAATAAATAAATAAAAAGATGGTCCTTGCAGGCACTGGTAACTCACGCTTGTAATCCTAGCTACTCAGGAGCCTGAGATCTAAGGATTGAGGTTCCAAGCCAGCCTAGGTAGGAAAGTCCATGAGATTTACCTCAAAAACAAACAAAAAAATACCTACCAAAAAAAGCCAGAAATGGAGCTGTGGCTCAAATGATCAACTGCTAGCCTTCAGCAAAAAAGAGGCCTAGGGACAGCACCCAGGCCTTGAGTTCAAGCCCCAGGACTAGCACCAAAAAGAAAAAAAAAAAGATTTTTCTTTCTGCAATGTATATTCTTGGCACCTTTGTCAAAATCAGCTGTTTTTTTTTTTTTTTTTTTGCTGGATGCTGGTGGCTAATGCCTATAATTCTAATTACTCAGGAGACTTCTGAGATCTGCTAATCAAGTTTCCAAGACAATTGCATGAGATTCTTCAGTTAAGCAGAAAAAAAGCCACAAGTGTCGATATGGCTCAAGTAGCAGCTGAGTGAAAAAGCTAAGTGGGAGTAGGAGGCCCTGAGTTCAAACCCCATACCTACATAAATGAAAAAAACTTAAGTTTTTGTTGTTGAGATGGAGTTCTGCATACCTTTTTTTTTTTGTACTTGTTGGTATTGAACCAAGATCCTCTCTCTGCTCCTGAGTAGCTAGTGTTACAGGTGTGAGACACCAGTGCCTGACTCAAGCTTTTTTTTT